CTCAACCTGTGGTCAGGACCCCATTTGGGGTCCAACGACCATTTTACAGGGGTCGCCAAACAACGCAGTTTGCCATTTCCCCCCCCCCCCTTTTCCTTAGCTGTGCTACTCCCTTTTATTCTATTGGCTTTTGAAAGCCAATAGAATAGACTCTCTTGAATAGAGTCTAATTCTATGGCTTTCAAAAGCCAATAGGAATTGTCCAGGCTGTCTCTGCCCCGCTGAGCCCACCAAAAGTCCCATTCTGCAAATGGTGCTGCACCAGTTGAGTAGTCCTCGACTAGACCGGTTGAGTAGTCCTTGACTTACGACCGGTTGGGGGTCGCAGCATTAAAAAGGTTGAGAACCACTGATTTATCTGAAATGGTATAAGGTTTCCTGCCTGAGCAAGGGATTGGATTAAAAGACCTCCAAGGTCCCTTCCAACTCTGTTATTCTGTTATATATTACTATATAGATAGTACTTGAACATTGATTTGCATAAAGTTTTGGAAACTTGAACTATTTCTAAGTAGTTGTTGAAACCACAATGCAGTCAATTGTTAGGAGTGAAGCTGATAGAGCAAGGAGCAGTGTTTCCCAGACTAGTGAGAATTATTATGTCAATAAATTCCAGCTGCCTTCTCTGTCCTTGAAGAAAATGATTCAAAGAAAGGTCAAGAGGACTGTAAAGCCTGAAACATTCACACTTTCTCTCTCACACACATACACACACATGCAGAGAGAGAAGTGGTGACTGCTTTGTTCTGCAATAGATGTATCTTCTGTGGCAGCTGGCTTCTTTCTTGCCTGCAATACAGGTAGTCCTCAACTTACGACTGGTCACTTAGTGAGCATTTGAGCATTTGAAGTTATGATGGAGCCAAAAAAAGAGTATTTACGACTGAGGTCCAAAGTTCCAGTGGGTGCTCTCCCACAGTCACATGACCCACATGTCAGATGCTCAACAACACAGATGTTTGGGGCCTTTTGCAGCATCCTGTGGTCACCTGACTGCATTTTACAACTTCCAGTTTTTGGCAAAACCGCACCTGTAGCAAACCATTGGTTTGCTTAATAACCAGAGCCTTCACTTAATGACTACAGCATTCACTTAACAACATCACAGAAAAGTTGTACAATCAAATTGATTAGATAATGGCAGGCTCCATTATAGTCATAACTCAAGGTGTTCCTGGAAAGTATTTACACAAGCTGAGGCATGTCTAAGAATTTGCTGTTGAGCAAGCAAATTCCCCAGAAAGACTGGAGAAGCTACAGTACATTGATAATTGTGCTGGGGAGGGGGGGGGAAGGTGACAGCAATTGCACAGTTTTCCGCTTGCACAAGTGACTAATGCTATTTGAAACCAGATTTTATCAGCCAGAGCAGCTCACTGCATGTGGAGAGATGATGGGAAAATCAAGAAAGGAATGGAAGAAAGAAAAGATGTCAACAATTAAGATATAACTCAAAGATGCTTTTTCACACGGCATCTGGACTTTCTTGTTTTTCTTTGAAGATGTTTTGCTTTTCATCCAAGAAGCTTCTTGCGCTCTGACTGGATGATGGGGAATGGAAGGATTTGCCTGAGCAGGGGGTTGGACTAGATGACCTCCAAGGTCCCTTCCAACTTTATTGTTATTGTTATTATACTCCTTGTACACAGCTGGTCATTTGCATTCTTTTAGAGAGTCAGACTCACTGGAGAAGGGCCTAATGCTGGGAAAGATGAGGGCAATAGATGAAGGGGATGACAAAGAATGAGGTGGCTGGATGGAGTCACTGAAGCAGTAGGCGTGAACTTAAATGGACTCCAGAAGATGGTAGAGGACAGGAAGCCCTGAAGGAACGTTGTCCATGGGGTCGCGATGGGTCGGACACAACTTCGCAACTAACAACAAGAGAGTCATTGAGGTCACCTGGAGGTTTATCTGTATTGTCAGGATCACCTGAGTAGTGCAAATGGGTCCAGTTGCCTCATGAAAAAGCACCTTTGGGATAACTATGACCTGATGACTGAGAATCTCCATAAACAATCAAGAGATTAAAAAGTGAGTCGCCTTCATCATCGTCATATCATCATCAACATCTTATCCTGTCTTTTCTCATAATTGCCATATTAGTTCAGGTGGCAGGAAACTCAGGAAAGTGTTTAAAATCATACCGAGATACTTTTCCTTAATTAATTCACTATAAATGAGGTGGGAAATTCCTGTTTCTTAATGTACTTAGTTCAAGTACATAAAGGGAAATGACAAGGAAACTACATGGTCACAGACATTCAGACCAGAAATAACAAGTGTAAATTGCAGCTGTGTAGATTTTGTTTGAATACTGTATAGGAAAAAAAGTCCTGATGATGTGTACAAGAATAAGAATAGAATATTTTGACTACAAGAATTGTGGATTTCCCATTGCCAGATATTTTTAAAAAAAGACTAGACAACCTGTGACCTCTTGGCTCATCCTTCTCTCCAGAGATATTTCCTTACCACGTTCAGTGCCTTCAATGATAGCAGAACTTCTAATATACTTGAAAAAAAAATTCAGGGGTATTTGCCAAATTTCAATTCCGTAAGAGTCACGGGTCCCAGATTTTGAATACATTCTATAAGTTAGCCCATTTGAGGTACCTAGGTTCAAAACGTGTTGCCCAATGGCATACTGTTTCACCCAATTAAAGATTATAGACACAAGAGTCTTAGTAATGTATAGACTGGACAACTACTTCTGATGAATGATTGAATTGGTTTTTCTGCAAATTGCAGAAGGTTAGAGCAGATGATCTTTGTGATGTCTTGTCTATGGAGATTCTCAATCATCCAGGTCAGAGGTAGGCAACCTTGGCTCTTTTATGACTCGTAGACTTCAACTCCCAGAATTCTGGGAGTTCATGTTTATCATAAATTATGGTGACAAAATATTTTGGTTTTCAGATTACTTACTTTCAGTTTTGGAGATATGACTTTTGTCCCAATTTGTCGTCAACCTGATCTCTGCAATGAGGTCTAATGAAAATACGATTAATCAAAGCATACTTGTAAATCCATTGAATGTAAGAGTATTCTTGATGGTACAAAAATCTATCCTGTTCATACATATGATTACATTTCACCAAAGCAATGACTTCACCCTGAATTTCATTCTGTGTCTAGTTGTATTTCCCAAATTGCAGTTTTGCACTTGTTCCCTTTGGTGCAGCTCGAAATTCTAGTTGTATTTTGTTTTTCAGTAAATCTACAAGCTTTAAGAACAGAATACCAAGATGAATTTGCTTTATCAACTTCTCCCTCACTAAGTTCAGAAACTAGGAGATTCTGGTTAGATTTGTTTGCTGTTGACTTTTGGACTGAATGTTTAGCTAACCCAGAAAAGTCCAAACTAAATAAATGTCCTTTTATGGTCAGAATTGTATTGCTTGATGAAAAAAATTCCCTACACTATTATGAATTTTCTGGAATGGATCCACATTCCTGATTATCTGACTCAACTCTTCTTTCAGATGAGTTTTTACAATTCTCAGCAGGTCAGCTTGCTTCCTGCTTATCTAGAAATGGAGTAAAAAAACTGGCTCTATTTATCTCAAAAACCATGACTCAACAAACTACAGGTAATTCTCGATCTACAACAGTTCATTTAGTAACCTTTTGAAATTATAACGGCACTGAAAAAAAGGTGACTTATGACCAATTTTCACACAATCATTGCAGCATCCTCAAGGTCATGTGATCAAAACTCAGACCCTTGGCAACTGACTCATATTTATGATGGTTGCAGCGTCCCAGGGTCATGTGATCCCCTTTCAGTGTTCTGGAAACATGTGATCCCCCTTTTCAACCTTTTGGGAAGCAAAGTCAATGGGGAAGCCAGATTCACTTAACAATCATGTTGTCAACATAACGATGACAGTGATTCACTTAACAACTGTGGCAAGAAAGGTTGTTAAGTGGGGCAAAACTCATTTAACAAATGTCTCACTTAGCAACAGAAAGTTTGGGCTTTACCAGTGATGGCGAACCTTTTAGAGACCAAGTGCCCAAATTGCAACCCAAAACCCACTTATTTATCACAAAGTGCCAGTGCTGCATCAGCATTGTGGAGCCCTCGGGGTGGGGTGGGGGCGTGGCCCTCTGCGTGGGCATGACTGCAGTGGTCATGGCAGATTGGGTGAGCACGGCTGGGGCCAGGGCGGTGGGGGCCAGTCCCTCACCATCTCCGGGGCATCCCCGGAGGGCCAATGCCGCTTGCTTGCTCACTTCCTGCCGTCGCTTCAAAATGCCACATGCTTGCTACTCTGGCGAATTCTGCTGGGGCAATGGCGCATGTGCCCACAAAGAGGGCTCTGAGTGCCACCTCTGGCACGTGTGCCATAGGTTCGCCACCACTGGGCTATAGAATTGTGGTTGTAAGTCGAGAAATACCTGTATATGTAGGATATTACATATTTAGCAGTAATAACCTTGATTATAGAAAAAGGGAGCGGAATAAGAACTTTTGTACACAAACGGATCTCTTGTTCAACCAACAAATGTACTGGACCTTTTTTTTTTATCTTGTATCGTGTACGAGATCCTTTTTCACACTTAAAAGGTGCAAACATTCAGGACTGCTGAATATAGACTTAGCATCAGCAAAGTGCCTGTAGTGCATTCCAAAATTAGTTAAAATATTATAGAAGGTATAGTAATTAACAGCTGTAATGACAAATAATTAAATAATACATGTCATGAAGCCAAGGTGAAACACATTGCCTGAAAGGAGAACTTACCCAAAGTAGACACTTGAGAGAAGAAACAGCCACAAAAGGGAACAACTGGAGTGCAGAAAAAGAGAAGAATCACAGGGAATGGAGCAAAAAACAACTGACTCAGTTGGACACGTGTCTGAGAAGACATGAGGTCTTGTTGGTGCCAAATAAGTCCAAAAAGAAAAAGGACTTTCCACCACAGGCTGTGGAGGTCCATATAATATAATTGTCAATATCCAGCTCAAGGATCCAAATTAATCACCAGGTTCATTTCATTTCCGAAAATCTTACTGTTTATTGAATACATGGCATGGTACTGTCGAAGCAAAATTCGCTCTGAGGTTTAAAGACACCAGATCAAAGAATTAAACAATAGTCTTTTCGCCCAACCCCCTGCCCTCTCATAGTCCCTGTAAACAATTTCAGTTTGTTATGGGAACTGTCTGCTTCTCTTCCACACCTGCTGCAGTGTCCTTGGAAATGGTTCAGGCTCTCACGGTCTTCAGCAGAATCAAAAAAAGTTTCATTTCTCCATCTAAACACTTCTAAAGCAACACTTCGCCCCCCCCCTTCTAATGGCAGGTTGAAATGAAGAGTCATGTAGCTGCCAAAGTTTCATTCTTGACAATAATAACATTATATGCCGTGCAGCATATAAAGGAAGACAGAACCAAGATGGAACTTGGAAACTTCAGGATTCAGACTTGACTTCTCCCAACAGCCTGGCCGAGCACATTTCATTTATTGGCTTCTGGTCTAAAGAAAGAATTCTCCCTGGATATCCATAACTATCCAGTCCAAGTCAATAAAATTGTTCCCAGTTTCTATGGACGAAGGCAGCGATAACATTGACACAGGAATACAGTGCAAGAACCTTTAGCAGATAAAAGTAAGTGACATCTCAGCCTTGGGAAAGGAGAGAAATAAAAGAAACTCAGAATAATCCCTCGTTGATTCTGTATGGTAGAAGAGACTGCAAAGGGAATTTGGCAGGTGTTCAGCTCTGTTGTTATAGCTGGCAACAAAAGTAGAATTCCAATAATAGTTGACAGGTCTGTTTCCTAACTTTGAAGGGCTGACAGTCTCATAACTTTAAACCAAAGTATACACTTTTAGCTTTAGCACTTCCCCTAAGCGGAAAAGGATAAATTGAACCAACTTGGTAGAAAGCACAATGCAAGTACTGTACACATGTTTTAAAAACAAATTTATTTCCGGTTTCCTGTATTTATCGGGTACACAAAAGTGATATGAGACTGAGACTCTTTCCTTTCTCACCTTTTCACTAAGTTCTTTTGATAGGAACATCAGCAGAGCTTCAGTTCTGAGGGTGCACCTAGACCAGGGGTAGGCAACCTTGGCTCTTTTATGACTCGTGGACTTCAACTCCCAGAATTCCTGAGCCAGCATGGCTCAGCTTGGAAACCTTTCCCCTCAGCATGGCTGGCTCAGGAATTCTGGGAGTTGAAGTCCACGAGTCATAAAAGAGCCAAGGTTGCCTACACCTGGCCTAGCTCAATAGTGCCAGAAGCTGAAATCACAACTGGCAGTATTGGAAAAGAGGCACCCCTCTGGTCACAGAGGTGGAAAAAAGAGCACATTCTTAGCCAGTGATGGTAGAAAAGCCCCACAGTGAGATAGGTGGCAAATAAATTTAACAAACAAACAAACTAACCAACAAATAAAACACAAATAAGCTACACTGAAGAAACTTTCAAGACTAGAGCGTGGGGTGGGCTGCTCTTCTGTCTATCTAGTTGTCATATACAGTGTATATTTATTTATTAAATGACATATGGCTGCCCATCTCACCAGAGGTGAACCAGCATTGTACAGCAAAAAATAGGAAACAATTAACATGTCAAAAACAGTCATCTTAAAACTTAAAAAAAAAGAAAGTAAAACACACAAAAGATTAGATCAGCAAAGATGCCAACTTTATCCTAAAATTAAGGTCACCAAATTCACTGAAGTTCTTCAAGTAGCACGTTGAACTTTTGGAAAGTGTATTCCTTGACTTCCTCTGCCCTGAACGTCGTCTTCCTGATTTCTTCCATCCAAGGCAGGGGATTCATTCCTGGACTACAGCCACTTACTTGCCTGTCTGGAAATGGAACAATCCCAAGGGAGACGTCACTTCCCACTCTTTGCTCCTATTGATTGGGTGCCCACTGTGATCTCCTCGGAGGCAACATGGCTGCACGGACTGGAACTTGGGACTGTTGCCTTTCCCATTTTGGAGGCCTTTTGTGGCTCTTGTGCTGGATTGGGGATCTGGCCTGAAAATGGGAAACAAGGAGAAGGTTTCAAGAAAAGTCTGTGGATGCCAGTTGCTAAATGGCTACTTGCCCTTCTCTTGCCCTAATTCCATGCAAATCGTCCCTTCTCTTTTCCTTTTATAATTCTTCTCTTTCCTCCCAGTTCCAACTCAAACCATTTCCTTGGTGAATCTAGAACAAGGAACCAGAGAGACTGGATGTATCTAGGATTGCCACAAAGAAGAGGGAGTCAAGCTATTTTGCAAGGCACCTGAAGGCAGGACAAGAAGCAACGGGTGAAAACTAAGCAAGGAGAGAAGCAACCTAGAACTAAGGAGAAATGTACTGACAAGTAGAACAATTAACCAGTGGAACAACCTGCCTCCAGAAGCGGTGAATGCTCCAACACCAGAAGTTTTTAAGAAGAGACTTGACAGCCATTTGTCCGAAATGGTATAGGGTTTCCTGCCTGAGCAGGGGGTTGGACTAGATGATCTCCAATGTCCCTTCCAACTTTATTATTATTATTATTATTATTATTATTATTATTATTATTATTATTATTATTATTATTATTATGGCAGGGATAGGCAACCTTGGCTCTTTTATGACTCATGGACTTCAACTCCCAGAATTCTGGGCATTGAAGTCCACGAGTCATAAAAGAGCCAAGGTTGCCTACCCCTGATCTAGGGCTTGTTTACAGCAAAATTATGTTCTTTTTGACAGGATTTTATGGATAATATGGAATGGCTGAATGGCATTTATGCAGACTAGAAATATTAAACGGTGATGTAGGAATAGGAGTTCTGGTTCCTCATCTTACTTTCTTTTCTGTGGCTTAACCTCTCCCATCTGGAAGCACCAACAATTAGTTTCACTAAGGTCAATCTTCTCAGATCTTATTTTAATCCACCTGGAATGTTCTTCTTTGCTTCCCTATTCAACAAAGTTGAACATTATTTTGAGTATTCAGGATTCAAAACCAAACTATCCCCCCCTCCCACTCTCTCCCCACTCTCTCTCTCTCAAGAGAGGGAGAGGGAAATGAAGCAGATGAAAGAAAGAAGAAAGGGTGAAAGGGAAGGAGAACGGATGGAAGAAAAAAATGCTCAGTCCAATTTATCTCCCTTCAGTTCATGGACCAGGGTCTCTGTTCCATTATGTCACGATCTCTAGAGGTTCAAACATTCTACTCTCATATCATTATCACCTTTATTGGCCATTTTCCTAATAGTCCAGTTTCACGATCTTCTAATTCTATCTCTTACAAATGTCAGTGCTCATGAATGTTCATAATTAGCCTTGCAATCATCTCAGCTAACTTGCTTTTGTTGTTGTTATGGTCTTTCAAGACAACTGTGATTGTGTGGACCAGTTTTCTTGGCAACATTTTTGCCTAGTACTTTCTTCCTGGGGTTGAGAGAGAGGGAGGGAGGGTCTGGCCCAAAGTCATCCAGGTGGTTTCCAAGCCTAAAGGGGGACTAGATATCCCCCATTCCTAATCCAGGCCCATTAAGGATTACAGGTAGTCCTCAACCTACAGCAGTTCATTTAGTGACCGTTCAAACTTACAACGGCACTGAAAAATGTGACTTATGACCGTTTTTCGGTTACCACCTTTGCAGCATCCCCAGGATCACGTGATCAAAATTCAGATTGCTCAGCAACTGGTTCATACTTACGACGATTGCTATGTCCCAGGGTCACGTGGTCCCCTTTTGCGGCTTTCTGACAAGCAAAGTCAATGGGGAAGCCAGATTCACTTAACATTACTAACTTATCAGCTCCAGGGGTTCACTTAACAACGGTGGCAAGAAAGATCGTAAAATGGGGCAAAACTCACTTAACAAATGTCTCACTTAACAACAGAAATTTTGGGCTCAATGGTGGTCATAAGTCGAGGACTACCTGTACTGTATCCTAAACTGGCTGTCTTTCGCCATTTGTGCCCTTCAGCAAATAAAATTCAGTATAGTTAGCAAACGCAGTAACAGAGAACGGTGTAATCTTATTCAATAGAAGGAATGGGCCACTTAAGATCAAGCTGCATGTCCTCCCTGTACTTATTTTCTGAATTCCTTTCACACATTTTTGTGTGCGTCACTGTTGACTCATTGCGACCAGACAAGACCTTGCAGTTCTCTTGGAAAAGTTTCTCAGTTTCTTCTCCTGGCTTTCTTCTTCTTCCTAGGCCTGAGAGAGAACTACCGGCCCAAGGTCACTCAGCTGGCTTTGTGCCTCAGGCCAGACAAGAGATCACAGTTTCCCGCTTTCATGTGCTTTAATCATGATACCAAACTGATGCTTTCTTCCAAGCCTAGTTGTTGAAAATCAACCAATAAAATAATAATAATAAATGTCCTAAAATAAATTTCACATTGAGAGAGGAACACTCTGATGTTCCTCCAAACCTAGGATGAATTTTAAAAAGCCTCCCCTCTGTCAACTTTGCCTCAACAGCCTGCTCACCACAACCCTTGCTGTTACAGTTGCGAATAAGATGATACGTTCAGCTCTGAGGTAACTGCGGTTGCTCAAGATGGACCTTCAGGCAAGACGCAAGCGTGGCTTTTTCCTCCATTCCCAGAAGCTCTTCTCTGTCAGAGCCTCCTCTGTATCTGTTTACCTTTGGGGCCTGCACCGGCTGGCGTCTGATTCTCCAGCAATGACTCCGGCTGCTCCGACCACAACTTGTAGCCAGGATTACTGAGGAAACGCTTGCTCAAGCCACAGTTCAGGCACTGCACAACAGTCCAGCGCTGATGACGGCGCTCTATTTGGAAAGTGAAAGAATGAATCACCGGGAATACGGAAAAACAGAAGACTTGCCCTCCCTTCCCGCTACTCCCCAAACATATAGGTAGTCCTTGACTTACAACCATTTGTTTGGTGACTGTTCAATGTTACAAAGGCACTGAAAAAAAGTGTCTTATGACTGTTTTTCACATTATCACAGGGTCACATGATCAAAATCTGGATGCTTGGCAATTGACATGTATTTATGATGGTTGCAGTGTCCCGGGGTCACGTGATCACCTTGTGCCACCTTCTGACAAGCGAAGTCAGATTCACTTAACAATCGGGTTATTAACTTAACAACTGCAGGGATTCAGTTAACAACTGCGGCGAGAAAGGTTATAAAATGGGGAAAAACTCACAACTCTCTTGCTTAGTAAAAGACATTCTGGGCTCAATTGTGGTCGTAAGTCAAGGACTACCTGTAACCATATCACTAGCTCTCCTCAGCAATTTCATTTTATGGATTGTACATCGAAAAGATTGTCTGGTATGGTTCAGAATAGGCATGTGCTATCCCAGGGGTAGGCAACCTTGGCTCTTTTATGACTTGTGGACTTCAGCTCCCAGAATTCCTGAGTCAGCATGGCTGGTTCAGGAATTCTGGGTATTGAAGTCCACAAGTCATGGTTGCCTACCCTTGTGCTCTCTGCAGTCCACAGGCCTCTGGATAACTGGTAATGTGACCCCGCAAGATTGTAAACACTTAAAATTATATGTAATTTATATACATTAAGTATATTATATATTTTATAAGCAGTCCAAGACAATCCCTCTTCACTCAGTGAGCCTCAAACAAGCTGAAAGGCCGGACACATATGGCTTAGAAACAGAATGCAAATAATTTGTTGTAGGTATCGGGTATGGGATGTAAAACGGAGAAAGCTAAGAAAACAAAAATACTGGCTTTGAAGACATGCAAAAATTGGAGAGTTTTCCAACCATCACCTTTTGCAGCATTATCATGCTGTTGAGTTGAAATGTGAGGCCACCAAGGGACCACATGGCTTTGTGGCCACTGGGTGAAAAGAGAGAAAACAAAGTGGGAAATGCAGGTCATCCCCACCCCCAGCTAAGGAGAGCCTCAAGACAATGTAACAATGGAAGTGTAGTCAACCTGGGCAGAAAAGCCAAAAGGAACTATTCTTTGGGTAGCCCAGGAGTTCTCTATTTGGGATCCAAGGATCATTGTCATACACTGGGAGTTAAGGGGACAAAGCTAATATAAATATATAATATAAAGGTGGTGACCCTTTGAAAGCTGTATGCAACGAAATTTCATTTTAATGTATGCCGATTAGTGTACATTCAAAGTGACAATAAAGTTATTATTCTATTCTATTCTATTCTATTCTATTCTATTCTATTCTATTCTATTCTATTCTATTCTATTCTATTCTATTACATGTTCTTCTTTCAATGTCACATGATTATTTGTGTTGTAATTCGCTTTATAAGCTGCAGGGTACTACATTGCAAGTAATACAATAATTTGTGAATGAAGATATGTTCTTAGCTATATGTCGTAACATTTTTCAATTTTTCATTCCCACCCCCAGAAAGCCATGGATATGGCCTTTAAAAGATATTCAGAAGCTTTTACTACAGCTTTGGTTGCTTGGGAGATCAACTCTCTCTCATAGTATCTACAATGTCAATTCAACTGGGCAAGGCTGCCATGCTCTGGGTGCCTTCCATTAAACAAAGTCATATATTGGAATCCCAGCAGTGCACTTCCCGACAGTTAGAACAATTAACCAGTGGAACCACCTGCCTCCAGAAGCGGTGAATGCTCCAACACTGGAAGTTTTTAAGAAGAGACTGGACAGCCATTTGTCCGAAATGGTATAGGGTTTCCTGCCTGAGCAGGAGGTTGGACTTGATGACCTCCAAGGTCCCTTCCAACTTTATTATTATTACTATTATTACTATTACTATTATTATTATTATTGGTTGCACAACCAACGAGATATTTAGACTGGATTTGTCTACCTATCAGGGCCTCCTCAAGGACTTGAGAGAGACACTATTATTAGCCTTCTTTAAGTACTGGGAAAGGAGATAGGTTTAGAAAGACTGGCTCCCCCTTGACTCAGCGGGATAAAGGAGGGGAAGGAGGAGGAACACAAACTTGCAAAAAATCTGCTTGTCATGGTTCCGACAGATGAGACCAGCAGAAATAAGAATTCCGAGGCAATTGCTTTCCTCAATGAACACATTCAATGGCTACATAGTATTGGCACTAACAAAGCTGAAACCAACACTGAAAGTCCCCCCCCCCAAGGTTACAAACGTTGAACTCCCCATCCCTGCAGTATGTTATAAATCACAATCCCCAATTAATTACTTTGGCTGGTACTTTCTAAAGGAAGCTTTAGCCTGCCAAAACTTAGGTAACTTGACCTTGGTTCCCACAGAAAGTTATTGTTAGGTCTAAACTAAGAGAATGTATCTCTCCCCCCTCCCATCACTGTGGCAACCGAAAACGAAGTGAAGATGGCTGCAGCCAAATTCGTTTGAAGGTTGACACTGTTACTATTATCTGTCTCAATAAAATTTAGTGCTTGTCTTCCTGTGGAATCATTTTTCTGAAATGATCTACCTCTCATGGCTGACAATAAAGGATTTTTAAAATTGCTTGATCATCTGCAAAAACTTTGATGATAATCTAGCGGTTTGCAATGGGAAGCACCAGGGGTTCAGCAGAGCTGAGGTGGCTTTTGAGGACAGCACACATATTTTAGAGATTGATTTCACAAAATATGTTTACCTTGAGGATTGAAATTAACCCATTTGTTTTGATTCACACAACCTACTAAACTGGTATTTCACAATACTAAGCCAGACAGCCAACCCATCTCAGACACTTCTCAAATTCTCAAGTTTATTAAGTTGGGCACTAGTTAACCTGTTTAAGCAAGATGGAATCAATCTTAAACCTCTTCTATTTACTTCCGAAGGATGGATCGTATAAAGCCCACTATGAGCTTTCAACTCTTTGGAGGAAGAGGCACTAGTAAAACAGTGTGTACACCCAGAGGCCATGAAAAAATGTGCAGATGCCAACCTGTTCTGTATGAAAAATAGTGCCAGTCAGAATGGATCTGAGATGGAGAAGAAAGATCTCCCAAGGCTCAGTGTCATCTACATATAATCTCCCAAAGAAGCTCAAAGCAAGCCACATCTACAGAGGTCACTAAGCAAACTCTGAGTCTTTCTTCTCCATCTCAACCTTAGCATCCATTTACCCCAAGGGGCAGGGGTGTCAATCATATCAGATTCTAGAGCAAGAATAATACCAAGGAGCACCCAGAAGCCCTGCAAAAGAGGAGGAAAAGAATGCAATACTGACTTCGTTGGCGAACAGTTGAGCTGATTCCAGGAACAAGAAGAGAGAAGCAGGATTTGCAGATGGTCCTTTTCACGGAAGGGTCCCTGCACACAAAATCAAGCGATCAATTAATTTGCAGCACTCAATTACCCTTGTTAACTGAGGACTATATATACTATTTATAACCAGACACTGACAGAGTGTTCATATCAAATTAAGCTATAATGTGGTTTTGGTTAGGGAAGAATCTAATTTTGCCTTAATGGGATATGTGAGCTTCATTGTGGCTCAGTGCAAAACGTGAATCTAGCCAAATGTAACATTTTGGTTAGCAAAGTTGTGCTATAATGAGAGGTATGAACAGAATTACTAAGTTCATAGCCAAAGTGAGATAGCAACCATAAACCACCATCAGCTCTTCTAAATCATTGTTTGCCAACCTCATCCATTTAAAGAGGTATAGACTTCAGTTCCCAGTATCCCAGCATGCAGGCAGGGGAATTCTGGGAGTTGAAGTCCAAATACCCTAAAGTTGCCAGATTGGGAAATACTGATCTAATTCAATCTGGTCAATTTCAGTTTTGACCCATAATGTAAGATTTAGAAAACAATAAAAGAAGAGAGTCAAAAGAAGAGGAATTGAGAAAGGGTTAATAGGGAAAAAGCAATGTGACTTCTATATTGGAGCAGTTAAAGAGCAAAAACTGTATCATATGCCAAAAGTTGACTGAAATCTCAAGGCAGCCATGAATTTATCTGTATGATAATAGTAAAACTAATATTTTTTGTTGTGAATTATGAAGTACAGACAAACCTTTGATCTATTTATTGTGGTCTCATAAACTCCAATCTCCCTCCTAAATATGGATACATTGTTAATAATTACAAAGTGTTCCCCATAAAGAACATAAGAATAAATAAAGCACTAATAAGGCATGTCAGATTAAAAGTAGATTTTTAAGAAAAAAATTGGCAACAAGGAGAAAACAGGTTCAAAAGGTGGGAAGAAAAACGCTCCATTTGTTGCTGGATTGGAAACAATATCTTACCCTAGAAATTAAAGGTTTTATATGCTGCTTGTAATCATCTCCCACAAAAGATGGGTACTCATGTATTCAAGACGGACAGTGAATAATATTTATATGTTACTTATATGTAAGGGTGTAGGTCTATAGTCCAGAATTCCTAAGCCAGCCATGCTGAGAGGAAAGGGAGAAGTTTCCAAGCTGAGCCATGCTGGCTCAGGAATTCTGGGAATTGAAGTCCACCAGTCATAAAAGAGCCAAGGTTGCCTACCCGGCCTATACATATATTGTATATAGTATGTTTTAAATGTGTGTTAAGTATGTGTACACTTTGAGAGGAAGCAACTAAATTTCATTTTTAATGTGTGCCATTGTGCCCACAGGAAAAAAATGACAATAAAGGTTATCTACTCACTGTCTTAGGACGAGCCGTCGGCTAATGTTGTTTTGGGTTTGACAGTAGAAACGAGCCAACTCTTGGTTATCTGGGTTTTGGGCAAGCACACAATGCGCTGCCTGTGTAAGAAAGAGAAATATCCTTACCACTCCCAGAGATATCTAGACATCCTATACACTCTGGTTGCCTCATAACAAAGGGATCTTACGGAGAATCAATCTGATCCTATTAAGGCTTTGATTGTAAAACATGTAAAGAATCTTAGCACATCTTAAAAGCTACATCAATTTTTGGGGGTCAGAACTCGAGTAGCATAATATGATCACTAAAGTAAGGAGGTATCTTATTTTACTATAGGACATTTAGTGGCCAGATCTTGAAAGAACATGTCTTTAAGAAGGACTTTGTTGTTTCTTACTACTTGTGGCTCATTCTTGGTGATTCCCACTTTAGGGAGGCTGACATTATGACTTTTGTATTGTGGGCAATCTCCCTTGAAAGTCAAATGAGCCCCATAATTCAGGGATCCCCAACTCCCAGCCCCGTGTGGAACCATTAGGAACCAGACCCCAAAAACGGTGGGTGAGTGAGGCACGCATACAGCTGTATTTGCCGAAGGGGCGGGAGAGCACACACATGAACCCACATTTGTGCAAGTGGCAAGTGAGCGGGTGCACGCTCACGAAACCATCCCTTCTCTTTCCCTGCTGCCGGTGCTGCCAGGACACAGAGCCGGGAAGATTGGGGACCGCTGTCATAGTTGATTGTTTTCCAAAGCAAGTAAAGATATAGTACTTCCTTTCTGTGGTTGATTGTACAGCTATCAGAATCTTACAATAATATTCTGGTTTATTGGCTGGAAAATTCTAGGAGTTGAAGTCCACACATTTTCAAGCTGCCAAGGTCTATAGCAGGGGCGTCAAACTGCCAACCTGTGGGCCGGATGCGTCACGTGGAAGCCGCGCCCACCCCAGCTCCGGCAAGGGGAAAAAAGTCACGGTACATCGCAACACGTCACGTGACATGGCAAGTTTGACACCCCTGGTCTATATAGGATCATTATGTGAAAACAGGATCAAATTTGTCATGGAGGGGGAGGAGGGAGAAGTTGGAAAACAAATTTAGGGTTGTGAAGAATCCAGGAAAAAATACTCCACTACAATCCTATAGAACAGATGTCCCCAATCTTTTGGGCACCAGGGACTGGTTTTGTGAAAAGAAGTTTTTCCCCGGACCAGAGGGGGCGTGGTTTTGTGTGCTGCTTGCATCTTGCAGATGGGTCTTTGCTTATTGGTGAGGACTAGTTGCCAGCATGCCGCAACACGATACCGGCCCACGGACTAGGGGTTGGGGACCCCTGCTATAGAATCTTGCCAACTGCTCCATTCTTAACCTCTCCTCCCTCTTGGTCATATGACCAAATCCGATACAGATCCAGTCCACTCTGTGCTTTCCAGTTTATTTTTATATATATATATATATATATATATATATATATATATATATATATACACACACACACACACACACACATACACACACACACATATATATATATACACACACACACACACACATACATACATACAGGAGCGTTTCCAGTTTTATATATATATATATATATATATATATATATATATATATATATATATATATATATATACACACACACACATACATACATACATACATACACAGGAGTGTTCACCAGGAACATATAGAGAGCCCAAGCAACTAATGCACAATTAGTTAAATAGGCACATGCCCTGATTTAACTCTGGGAGAATATGCACATGTGCAAACACATGTAGATGTACCACATTACAAGAGTAGGAACGTAGATGTGCATACAAACATGAGCAATTGTATTACAGAAAAAAATAGATGCTTCCTATAGGTGCTGTTGGGAAAGAGGTTGGAAAAAATTCCAGAAACCATGCTGTGCATGTTGTCTCTACATTGCTTTTAAAGGAACTGTCTTTCTGATTGTACCCAAGAGAAAAACATGCATTTGACATGCATTTGTAAGCAAACTGGAAACTGAGACATAGCTAAGGGTCACTTCCCACTACACCCCCCCCCCCTGTTTTAAACAGCCTAGTAAAATTAATTCTTATGCTGGGAAATTCTTCTCACCTGATAGAGGAAATTCAGTCTCTGAAACGCTTCTTTGTCCTTTATCATGCTGATAAAAACAATGAAATGATAAAGGTATCTTAAATTATTTAAGTGACAAAACAACTGACAGCATGCAAAAAAGGGTTATGATCAACAACAGTACCTCTTTAAAAAAGCTTTGCTTATATGGATTGGAGTTTTAGAGTTGGAGGGATATCACAATATATGAGGGCCCAATCTTTTTGATCCAGTGGGCATATTACAGGGGCTTAGTTGTCACAGGGGGCTCTGTCATTCACAGCACTACAGTCAGGGTGTCCACTCTCAAAACGCTAATTAAACTAAGTATCACTTGGTTGAGTTGGACAGCTATAGACACTGAATGAATAAATACAAATAAATGAACCAGAAAGTACAACAGGGGGACTGTCCCATATCAATAGCACTTACTTATGTACAGTACTCTCTAAGTGGTTTCCAGAGACAGCCTATTGTCCCCCAATAATCTGGACACTCATTTTACTGACCTTGGAAGGATGGGAGATTGAGTCAACCTTGAGCCAGTGAGGATTCCAAGCTGTGGGCTGAGTTTGCCTGCAATACTGCATTCTAACCACTGCGACACATGGTTCCACCTTTTTTTTTTTTTTAGGTCCCAAGAACATTTACTATCTGTCCAGATCAATCTTCCTTTTTTATGGGCAGACACATTTACTAAGGCTACCAAATCAGGGCTGTAAAACTTTAGATAACCACTCTCAAATATTTCAGAGTTTTCTGTATGCACCATGTAGCTATCTAGGTTTGACAATTTTGTTTATTGATTTCTGAGATTTATCCCCATCTTAATCCTTAATAGACTTTATGCAATTACAGAATATAATAGAAATAAGACAATAGTAACAAATACATCCTAGAGCACGGAGAGTGGAGAGAAGGAGGGAACAATGCAGGCTCAACTACTCGGGATGAGAGCGTCCCGCCCCACTCAAGGCACACCTGGAGAATGAGATTTAAAGAGATACTGTGGGGAGAGGCATTTGTCAGGAACAAACGCTGATTCCTTGGAGTTTTGTGTGTGTTGTTGCTGATCTCTTGTTCTGTGACTTCTGCTTGGAAACCCGCAAACTCTGACCATTGGACTGGTCATTGCTTGGATGTTTATAGATCTCGGACTGTATTTTGGCTTCCCTTTTGAAACTGCTCAGGCAAGCATGTATTCACACAGACTCATTAGATTTATGATGTATGTATCATTTCCTTGTTATCTCCGTGGCCTTGAGTAAATACCTCTCATAATCAGATTGTATGTGAAACTACTTGCAGCCAGAGGTGGCTGAAGGTGTCTGTGTCTTCCTGTGTTTGAAGGCTTGCCAGAAACATGGGAGCATTTGGGGAAAATTTGGAGCAATTAAAGGGCAGTTGAATCGCCAGCTGACTGCATTGCCTCTGTGCTGTGCCCTGGGTCATCACACAATGGGTCTGGAAGCTAAACCATATGATGAACACTTAAGGAACTAGGCATGTTTAGCCTAAAGAGAAAGCTTAGGACAGGGGTGTCAAACTGCCGGCCCGCAGGCTGGATGCATCATCTGGAAGGTGCACCCACCCCATTGAAGGGGTGACGTCGCGGGTTTGACATGTCTGGCTTAGGATGATATGATAGCTATCTTTCAATACTTGAAGGGTTCTCACAGGGATGAAGGGGTTGATTTATTATCCAAAGCATCCGAGAACAGGACAAGAAGCAATGGGTCGCAGCTTATCAGAGGGAAGTCCAACTTGGAACTAAGGCGAAATTTCCTGACAATGAGAATAATTAGTCAGTGGCACAGCTTACCTACTGGAGCTGTGGGTACTCCATTGCTGGAGGTTTTCAAGAAAAGACTGGACAACCATTTGTCCAGGATGGAATAAGAACTCCTGCCTTGGGGCAGAGGGTTGTATTAGAAGACCTCCACGGTCCCTTTCAGCCCTACGATTCTAGGATTGAATGATTGACAGACAGATCTGTTTAGGAAATCTTAATAATAATAATGTTGGAAGGGACCTTGGAAGTCATCTAGTCTAACCCCCTGTTCAGAATAGGAAACTCTACACCATTTCAGACAAATGGCTGTCCAGTCTCTTCTTGAAAACTTCCAGTGTTGGAGCATTCATAGCTTCTGGAGGCAGGTTGTTCCACTGGTTAATTGTTCTAACTGTCAGGAAGTTTCTCCTTAGTTCTAGGTTGCTTCTCTCTTTGGTTAGTTTCCATCTATTGCTTCTTGTCCTGCCTTCAGGTGCTTTGGAGAATAGCTTGATTCCCTCTTCTTTGTGGCAGCCCCTGAGATCTTAGTCTCTTTGATACCATGTAGGGCTTTAAAAGTAGCTCCCAGCACCTCAAATTGCACTTTGAAACACATTTCTAACAAGTGCAACATCTCCAGCAATGGTGCATATATGTCAGAAGCATGAATGACTCATTCATTCAACCTCAGCAACTTTAAGATATGTGGATTTCAATTCCCACAATTGCCCTCAGCCAGCATGAGAAACAGGGTATCATTTTGTTTCTCTCAGTTCCCCCTTCCCTAAATTTGGAATAGCAAAATTAAAGGATGCTACAACTTTTTTTTCCTAATGAATTGTTACAATCCATTAACTCTTAATTTTGAAGAGAGGGGACAGAAAAAAAAAGTCAAGTAGAGCCAGTGCTACAATGCAGCTTGATTCTCCTAAAAGGGATCTGAGATGTGCAAGAGCACATAGGTCTTGCCACTTATAGGCCTTCTTCACAATACTGTTTTGGCCCTTCTTACTTATATTGCATCCATCCAATGCCATTTCCTTAGCCCTATAGAATAGATAATGTGGGTATCAAACGGCTATGAATTCAAATCATTCGCTTTCATTCACTCACCTGTGTAACCTGGAGACCAGCTTTCTTCTTCTTTTGTTTTGCTAAAGAAGCACAACCTTTTTTAGTAGACAGAGGATGAACTCTTGACCGTGGAAAGAGGAAAGAATCTGATAGTCACAGAAACAAAACAAAGCGAACCCCTGTAAGAAATTGGGGGTTAAATTTTCTGCATTCCTGCATACTCCATAAAAATAAAAAAACAACAACAGAGGATACAAGGCTATTATTATTATTATTCCTTCCTTGGGCTTAGCCCTTGATGACCCATATCCAACTTTACCCCTGTCGTCTGATTGCACTGGTCCAAGCTGATTAAAGTGCCATAGAACCGGCTTCCTAATTCCGCGCGCAGAGTCTCTCCAAGTCCGTCGCTCGAAGCTACCGGAGTGCATCTTTTTTCCGGTTTCGTGGCACAAAGGCTTCTGGGAAATGTAGTGCCTTTTGATTCCATGGAATTGAACTACAACAGGGAGGTAGCGTTCGGGTTCGAAATAGGAAAGTGGCTTGGGGGGGTGTCGTCGTAGCTGCGCATGCCCCGTAGTTTTCCCCGTAGGAAAAATGTGTTCTGCTAACTTAACGTAGAGATTATTGCTCTAGCGTGGGTCTGGCGTGAATGCCCAGATAAGGGAATCTTTTTTTTTTTTTAAAAAAGAACCCTCTACTCTTTCCCCTTCGGCTCTGAATTTTGCAGGGGAACATCTACGGGTAAAGTGGGCCGAAACCTGCAGAACGCCCCCTTGCGTACGAATTAAGAAACTCGAATGCATTAATTAAGTCTGGCTCGTGCGAGTGTGCCTTCGACTCGGTGTTGACTCCTAGTGACAGCCTGGAGATGTCCCTGCAGATTTCTTAACAAGGTTTCAGGACTAGTTTGCCATTGCCTCCTTCCTAGGGCGAAGAGAGCACGACTGGCTCAAGATTACACTGCTTGGCTTGTGCCCAAGGCAGGACTAGAACATGGTTTCATGGTTTCTGTGAGGGTGCCTTGATCATTACACCAAATTGGCTCTCTGAAATAGGTTACTAGCACTCAAAATAATTGCTTAGCGTTGCATGCCTATTCCATACCACTTGACTGATTATGTGCCATTAAGTTATTTTCAACTATAGTGACCACATAGATTTCTTCATGAGGTTCTGTCCCTAACTTGTTTCAAGTCTTCCAAGGAGACATTCATCACCACTGTAGCTGACTCTTATGTTCATATTAGTAAAGTTGGAAGGGACCTTGGAGGTCATCTAGTCCAACCCCCTGCTCGGGCAGGAAACCCTACACCATTTCGGACAAGTGGCTGCCCAGTCTCTTCTTAAAAACTTCCAGTGTTGGAGCATTTACTGCTTCTGGAGGCAAGCTGTTCCACTGATTAATTGTTCTCACTGTCAGGAAGTTTCTCCTTAGTTCTAGGTTGCTTCTCTCCTTGATTAGTTTCCACCCGTTGCTTCTTGTCCTGCCTTCATGTGCTTTGGAAAATAGCTTAATTCCCTCTTCTTTATGGCAGCCCCTGAGATATTGGAATACTGCTATCATGTCCCCCCTTGTCCGTCTCTTCGTTAAACTAGACATACCCAATTCTAGCAACCGTTCCTTATATGTTTTAGCCTCCAGTCCCCTAATCATTTTTGTTGCTCTTCTCTGTACTCTTTCTAGAGTCTCAACATCTTTTTTGCATCGTGGTGACCAAAACTGGATGCAGTATTCCAAGTGTGGCCTTAACCAAGGCATTGAAGAGTGGTATTAATACTTCACGTGATCTTGATTCTATCCCTCTGTTAATGCAGCCTAGCACTGTGTTGGCCTTTTTGGCAGCTGCAGCACACTGCTGGCTCATATTTAGGTGATTGTCTACTAGGACTCCGAGGTCCTCTCACAGTTACTACTATTGAGCATGGTGCCACCTATGCTGTACTTGTGCATTTGGTTTTTCTTGCCTAAATGTAGAACCTTGCTTTTTTCACCATTGAATTTCATTTTGTTAGTTAGTGCCCAGTGTTCAAGTCTGTCCAGATCCTTCTGTATCTTAAGCCTGTCTTCTGGAGTGTTGGCTATTCCTGCCAGCTTGGTGTCGTCTGCAAATTTGATGAGTTCCCCATCTATCCCTTCATCCAAATCGTTGATGAAGATGTTGAAGAGTACTGGGCCCAGAACAGAGCCCTGGAGCACCCCACTACACACTTCCCTCCATATAGATGCAGTTCCATTGAGGACCACTCGCTGAGTACAGCCGGTCAGCCAGCTATGGATCCATCTGGTGGTGGTTCTGTCTACCCCACATTTTTCTATCTTGTCAAGTAGTAGGTTGTGATCTACTTTATCAAATGCCTTACTGAAGTCCAAGTAAATTATGTCCACAGCATTCCTCTGATCCACTAATTTTGTCACTTGGTCAAAGAATGCAATAAGATTTGTCTGGCATGATCTATTTTTGACAAACCCATGTTGGCTTTTAGTAATGACTTTGTTTGCCTCTAGGTGTTCGTTGATTCGTTGTTTGATTATCTTTTCCAGGATCTTCCCAGGTATTGAGGTCAGGCTGATAGGTCTGTAATTTCCTGGATCCATTTTTTTTCCTTTTTTGAGGATGGGAACTACATCAGCTCTTTTCCAGTCCTCTGGTAGTTCCCCTGTGTTCCAGGATCTTTGAAAAATATAGTTCAGTGGCTCCGATATCACATCTGCCAGTTCCTTGAGAACTCTGGGATGTAATCCATCTGGTCCTGGCGATTTGAACTCATCTAGGCTGGACAGGTGCTCACTAACCATTTTCTTGCCTATCTTAATTTGTGTTTCTGTTTTGTTTTTTATGGCACTATTTTTGATAGGTTGGTCTGTTTTTTCCCTTTGTGTAAAGACAGATGCAAAAAATGAGTTAAATAGTTCTGCTTTCTCCCTGTTGCTTGTCACCTTCTTGCCACTTCCACCCACTAATGGACCAATCATTTCCTTCACTTTTTTCTTGTTTTTTACATGTTGAAAGAAGCTTTTTTTGTTATTTTTGACTTTGGTCGCAAGCCTTAGTTCATTTTGAGCCTTGGCTTTCTTCACTTCATCTTTGCAGGCTCGGGCTATTTGCTGATATTCTGACTTAGTTATGTTCCCCTCTTTCCACTTTCTATACTTGTCCTTTTTATCTTTCAATTTGTCAGAGAGTTCTTTATGCAGCCATGCTGGTTTCTTTTGGAGCTGTTGTTTTTCCTCTTTGTTGGTATTGTGCTAGACTGTGCTTTTATTATCTCATTTTTCAAAATTTCCCAAGCTTCTTGAGTTGTTTTCCCCTTGAGGATTCTCATCCATGGAATCCTTCCCAAGCCCTCTCTAAGTTTATTGAAATTAGCTCTCTTGAAGTCCAAGACTCTAGTTTGACTGTGTTCTATTGGTTGTGCTTCTATAATGTTGAATTCTAATATTGCATGATCACTTCCTCCCAGGGTTCCTATGGCTTCAACACCGTCTATCATTTCATCTCTGTTAGTGAGAATTAGATCCAAAATGGCTAATCCCCTAGTTCCCTTCTCTACTTTTTGGGAGACAAAGTTGTCTGCTAGGTTTGCCAGGAACCTGTTTGATCTTCCACTTGGTGCGGAGTTTGTCTCCCAGTTGATGTCAGGGTAGTTAAAGTCCCCCATTACTATTGTGATGTGCTTCCTACATACCTTAGTTAGCTGACTAGCAAAAAGTTCATCTATTTCCTCTGTTTGGTTGGGTGGTCTGTAGTATACACCTATGGCAATGTCATTTCCCCTCCCTTTTATATTGACCCAAATGCATTCAAGTCAAAATGACTCCGTTCATTTGCTGCTGGTCATCGTTTCCTTCCACCTTCCCAGTGTTAGAGCTGTTTCCAGAGGCATGGCTCTTGCCATCATGTGTCCAATGTAGGATAATTTGGGCAGATCATTTGGTCCTCAAGTGAGAACTCCCGGTTGATTTGTTTGATGATCCATTGGTTACAGCCGCTTGTCTGGAATAGTATATAGGTTCTCTTGCTTGAGCAGGGGGTTGGACTAGAAGACCTCTAGGGTCCCTTCCAACTCTGTTATTCTGTTTCTTTTCCTGGCTGTCTTCTTCAAAATAAAGTTCAAAGGTATCGATACTTTTTTAATCCTGTTTCTTTAAACTCCAGCTTCTGTTTCTATATAGAGTGTCACAGGGAACATCATAATCTAACAATCAACTAAATAAACAAATTTGCTTATGTAAAGAGTTTTTAAAAAATCAATTTACTTGCCATTGACCTGGCTGATGGTAAACATTAATATCATGGGAGGAGATCCAACTGAGTATATCTTGGCTGTACACTTGCCAAATGCTTAGCTGTACACATGCTTGGCTGTACCTGCATTTATCAGGTACCACTTTCTCTCACCAGTAAGCAACAGTTTTTTTGCTGAAGGCATATTACAAACTGAAGCCTCCGATGTCCATGGGCTGGGGGAAGCCTGAGGATAGCAAGGCCAGAGGACAAACTAAGAAGAGTTTGGGCTCTGCAGGATGCAATCTGAGTTGGTTACCGGGAACAGAGTTTTAGCCTTTCAAACTTTCAGACACATGCTGGAGCCCATCCTTAGGGAATTCCTGTCTCTCCACTATGTGCATTCAGAGAAAAAGAAGTTCCCTGCGAATGGGCTCCATCATGTGTCTGAAAGCTCGGAGGACTATAATTCTAGTTCCAGTGACCAGTTCAGATTGGATCCTGCAACGTTATCCTGACATTCATTGGTGGGCTTGAACTCTGCCAGCAATAACAATGAACCCTGTCTGGGACTTGGCTCAAGGTCCAAAAGACAAACAAACTCAATTGGAATTCCAAGGACAAAATTTTATTTGGATAAAGCTTTTGTTTTTTTCTCATGCAGGAGAAAAGGCCACATGCACAATTTTAAAAAGCATATATTTATACCCTCTCACGAAGCTGGTTCCCCCCACCCCTATTGTATTCAACAGCCCTCCTGCTCATCCCGATCAATTAATCCGAAATGCCTAAACAGAAGACATTTCTTTTTCCCTTCCCAGGAAAAAGACCCTTGCATCTATACCTATTGTGTTAACCATGGCAAGTCCATGGCCTACTTTTTTCTAGCATAAACTCTTATCTTTATTTTTGTATTTCCTCTGCTTGCGGTTATGGCTGACTTCCTAAGAACAAGTTACATGTCTGAGAGCTAAGCAACAATCTTGCACTTCTAAAAGCTCAAGTAACTCCATTTTAGAACTATGCTTAAACTTCAGCTGTGTCATTAGGATTAGTTTTCTTCATAAGATCATTAAACAATTTCTGATCTTATTATCCCTTACAATCCACCCATTTCTCTTTTCTTCCTTTCAGAGATTTTTACTCCTGATTTAAATCAGACAATGGTATCAAACTTACCGACTCTTCTTCATCCATAGATTTACCTTTCACTC